TGATAATCGATTATCAAACTTCAGAGAGGGCTGACAGTCGATTATCACATTCTGATAATCGACTGTTGCTCAGCTTTGTTCAAAAAATCTGCAGAACGATGAATAATCGATTTTCAAGTTGATAATCGATTATCCATCGTCTTCTACCTCGAGCCAACTTGCGGAAATGTCACTTTTACTCACCAAACTTCAATTAAAGTATATAAAAGTGTTCTCCAAGGTTCATAGATCATTTTGGCATCATTAATTCATAGTTTTAACATCAAAATCATGGTTTACGATTCTTAGTTCTTCAAACATGTCAAACACAAAACTCAACCAAATGAACATTTATGAACGTAAAATCGATCTATATGAACATTCTAGTGATTAGATATATCTACAGGCTTACTTCGAAGCTTAATGGAGGTTTTGGAAATTTTCCGGCAAAACTTCCGGCGAGTATTTCTCCCAACTCCGGCGACTTCACACCAAATTGACAGCACCACAACACTCCTCACACTTTCATGAACACTTAGGAAGAAGAATGAAGAAAAATGGTGAAGAAATGAGAAGGTTGGGTTCTCTTATATAATGAGAAGGAGAGAAGAAGAAAACAGCTATGGTGACTCCACAATTCTGCGATCGGCGTAGTGGGGAAGGAGGCGCCGTCTAAACAGTTCCCTGATTGGGACCTATTTTGGTTCCAGTCGGGGTACACTTTTTGGTCCAACTTTCTCCAAATTGAAATCTGTTTGCACCGTTGCGATCAGACAGTCAAACTCTATCCAACGATATACTTTTCATAATTATTTGTAATACTTTTTCCGACATCATATTTTTGGGTGGTTGACTTTGACAAAGTCAAAATTGATTTATTTGACCTTTACTTAAAAAGGTACTCATACTAAATTCATTTTATTTATTCTCATGATTTATTTCAATAAATAAATTTAAAGTTTACATCATAAACACATTATTCATTTATTACTGATTTTGGGTTTGTACTCAGGTTCCCAACCAAGATTACACAATTAGTCAACATATTGGATTTATTTTTATGAGATTTATCCAGATTAAGATATTGGATATCAAACACATATTTTTTCGGCCCAAAGTCTAACAATAAATTATTTTTAATCAAAACAAATTTGATTAATTTATTATTTATTTATTAATAATTCTAGGGTATGTTTTGGGGCGTTACATGTGTTATTTTCTGGCTCATATTTAGTTTCAATGGAAATTAGCTCTACCTCTACCCGTATAACCATTGAAGATAACCGGCGTGAACAAAGACACTCCAGACGTTCGCTTAGGTATTGTGAAGCACTTGAAAAAAGAAAAAAAAGATTGTTGGTCCACCTAAGGTCTTCCGTTTCTGTACTTGTTGATTTATAACTCCATTTTAGCTTCTTTTTAACTTTCATGTAAAATTGCTAATCGTTTCTTTTTGTGGCTCCGGAAGGCATTCAGAAAACACCCATCTCTTATGTGGCAGGATCATACAATCAGATTTATACTGAAATTTCTCTACTCCTAGATTACATTCTTTCAGTCAGTTTTATTTATGTGGTTTTTAAACTTTTGTACTTTAAAATAATTAGAACCACCGAATACTGGTCATGTCTAATTCCCTCAACATAGGGTGTGTATCCCTGTATAGTAAAAAGGTGTTGTAAACTTACAACAAGCCACATACCAAAGAGGAGATACCATGTTTTCATTATTGTGCCTCCATCAACTCTCTTACTAACACACAAACAGTGCACTTCTCAAGAGAAAACAAAGAGCTGAAAGCAAAGATGCTTGACATGAGAAAGGGGAAAAGAAAAAACAATTTGAAAGTATCTGGCTTCAGCAATGAAACTACTATCCGTAATGAAAATGAGCTGATAACACATCACTAACCCATATGCAGATCATTTTCAGATTTTGTCAAATAAGTTTTAGCCTTAACTGCCTGTAAAATATATGTTAACTCATGTTCACTCAACTTTTTTGTCACATAAGTTGTATGACTCTAATCGTGTAAAATACTGAACCCCTCATCCCTTTTATCAAATAATATACAACATGCTAACTGCGGATAAGCTCATGTTCACTTAAACACTGTATCTTAGGGTGTGTAAGAAATGGAAACATGCTTTGAGTCTTAAGAAATGGAAGCATTTCTTACACATGCTTGGGCAAACACACACGTAGTGTGTAACCTGCTAGTATTCCTATAAAACTGCGGATAAGCATGCTAACTGCGGATAAGCTCATGTTCACCTAAACACTGTATCTTAGGGTGTGTAAGAAATGGAAACATGCTTTGAGTCTTAAGAAATGGAAGCATTTCTTACATATGCTTGGGCAAACACACACGTAGTGTGTAACCTGCTAGTGTGTGTGTGTGTATATATATATATATATATATATATTGGTGTGAGATGGGTTTAGAGAGAGGTTTCTTTCACGGCGATGTTGGCCGGCGGCTTTATTGGCGGAACACTTCATCCGATGGGCTCAAGATACCAGCCTTTAATGGGAAATCTATATTTCATTCGCATAGTATTTCATCCTATTACGGATGGAGGGGGTTGGCGAAATCACAGAATCCTGTCTTCACTGGGCTCAGTATACCAGCGATTGACAGGAGATTTAGATTTCCTTTGCATTAATATTCATCTTCTAATTCTTGGAGGAGGTGGACGGAATCAAAGTTTAATCGGGGAGGGTCAGATTTTAGATCTGGTAACTATTGCTCTCATTGGCAGTCAGATCTAGGGTGTTCACACATCCTTGCGCCCATATCCAGCACCGGTTGAAAGTCTCAACACCAGATTCAGCTTTAGGTTTCAAACCAAGGTATTCGATCTCTTCCACTCTGGTTACAATCTCTATTTCTGCATCACTGAGAAAGGAAGAAGAACTTTTCAAATTTGGTTGAATTTTGAGGCATTTAATTGGATTTTGGACTCCCTGCCTAGGCTCTCAAGTAATAATTGTTGGGTTCTTTAAAGGTTTGAGACTAATCGAAAGCTTACAATTTCTTTTGGATCCAACAAATGGGGGGATTATATCAGAATTTTTGAGCATAGATTTGAAGGTATCTGCTCAATTTTCTTCCCTATTGATAGGAGGGATGGCATTTCTCACTTGTTCAACTGTCTATCCTCTTTCTTATCTAAGATTAAGGGCAAGAATAAGGTGGAAAATCCCATCTTGGCAGCAAACACTGGGAACAGTCATCATTCCTCTTTTGCAGAAGAGGCTTCAGGATTGAATAAATCAGTTATAGGTTCTCCCAAAGATTCTAGTCAGGATGTTAATGCTTTGGTCCTTTACCCCAGGCCTTATGTGACTTCGGATTCACTTCCTAAAACCTGCTCTAATATCACCCCTGCGAATTTGTTTTCCTTTCCTGGAGGTTTTAGTAGTCTAATTTGGCTTCTTTTGTTTCGACATTTCTCTTCCCTTTACTCCTTGAAACCTAAGGCTAGTGATGAGAATTTTGCATTGGGTACATCTCCTGTTACAAAAGAGGACACTTTGGATTTAGTTCCTATGGATAATGCACCAAGATCTTGTTCTCAGCTTCAAACTTCTTTGGAAACAGGGTCCTTAAACTCTCTAGCTGCTGTACACAGTTTTGAACCTTTACAGGTTGTTTTCCCTGAGGAGGAGGATCAAAGTCAATCAGCCCCTAGAGCATGCCTATCAGATTCAGAGATTTTTAGAAAGGAGGACAGCCCGGACTTTCAATTGTTCTTTAGAGATAGTGCTGAGTTTGACCCGGACCCGGAGCCTTGGAGAGAATGGTACCCGGATGATGGTATCGAGCCAGATGACCACCTAAATCGATGGGGAGGTCCAAAGGGACTTACAGCTGCTCTTATTCGTAATAATGATCAGGGGCGGATCATTTTCGAGAGGGGATGTGCTAGCGGTTCAAGCCCCCTGCTCCTAGAAGGAGTCTTAGATTTGCTAGGCGTCGTCGGATCCCCTCTCCAAGTCGATCAGAGTTTTCTTTGGACTCGGACAATCAATGGGGGTTTTGATCTTCTGCTTATTTTGATAAGGGATTATCTTATTTTTATCATTTCATTGTCATCTGTATTGGTGGAAGTCTTTGGTTTATCTGTTTTTTGAGCAGGCATATGGGTTAGGGGGTCAGCAGTTCATGGTAATACATTGCATATCACTCATTCTATGACCAGACCAGCTTTGGAGGTTGCTTCTTGTTTGGGAACTATGTTGGATCTCTATCCAAGCTGCCCAAGATGTCCTTTTGTGAAAGCTTCGATGTTGGAGTGGACGTGGCATCTATCTGTTCTAGTTTCTTGGATTCTTTTCCTCTGGGTTGTTGTTTTAGTGCATTCTGTGTATCTCGTATTGGATTGGAGTTTCTTTGTTTTGGCTCTTTTGTTGGGGCCTGAGCCACCCCTTATCGCTTCTATTTTGTATTTTAATAATATTTTCCTTTAAATATATATATATATATATATATATATATATATAATGAAAAATAATATTTAATGAAATAATACATCCTTTATATATATATATATATATATATATATATATATATATATCATAGAATCATATATCAATGGCTACTCTCTCTAAAACTCCGGTGACCGGAAAACCACCGGAAACCAATAATAGATTTTTCTCTGAGGTTGTTTCATCCAGCTACACGGGCAAACGTCTAGAAGGCAGATCAACAGGACGTTTCAAAGGAATTCCCTCGGTCTCATTCACCCAAGATGACATATCGGAGCTTGCATCCAGGTTCAAACTGGCGCTTGTGGGCAAATTTCAGAAACGGCCTTCTTTTTCCTCTATGAACACATTTTTTCAAAGACTTGGTCTAAAGGGTAGAGTGGACATATCTGTTCTTCCTCATCAACGCTTTCTTCTAAATTTTAGTTCAGAGGAAGACTACCTGCGCCTCTTCCTTAGAAGGACTTGGCAGGTTTTTGGTTTCTTCATGACCCTCACCAAATGGAGCCCCTCTCTGTCGCAAGAATCTGAAAATCCGGTGATGCCTATCTGGATAGCTTTCCCTGACCTCCCCATTCATCTTCATGATAGGAGAGCTCTCCATCTTATCGCATCTACCATTGGTACCCCCTTACAGGTCGACTCTTGTACTTTAAATTTCTTCAGGCCTGCTTTGGCTAGATGCTGTGTGGAAGTTGATATTTCCAACCTCCCTCCTCCAAAGGTCTTGATTAATCATGCTGGTGAGGAACTTATTTTTTCCTTCATCTATGAGAATGTTCCCTCCTATTGCAAGGAATGCAGGAGAACAGGTCACTAGAGGGAAGCGTGCATGGCAAAAAACTCTGATCGGAAAAGGGATGAACCACCGGAGAAAGAGGCCCTGGTTTCACAGGAACACAAACACACTGGAAAATGGCAAGTAGTAACATCCAAAAAAGGTAAGGCCAAGGTGACTGACAATCTTGAGTGGCGGGCCAAGAAAACTGATTTTTCTGAACACCCCAAGAAAACTAATGCAACTTGGGTAGAAGGTCCAGGTGAATCCTCCAAAAACCCTATAGAGATACCTGTTTCACCCACCCCACCACTTGTTGAGAAGGTTGGGAAAAATGGGACCTACTGCATTACGGACCCTTCTATCCTATCAACTCTCACTTTACGTCATGTGTATGAAAATGTGCTTAGGGCCCCCATCATCAGTGATTCCCAGCAACTTGTGGACAACTCTCTAGCTATTGTCCCGTTCCAGGAGAATCAGTTCCTCTCTCTCCCTGAAGATGAACCACCGGAAGTTGGGTTCTTCACTGAAGCAAAAGAAATTGATGAAAATATTCAACACCTGGATTACCTACTTGCTATAGAAGAGTTCCCTCCTTTGCCACCCCCTTCAGTTGGCAAGGAAACCCTAAGCAAGTCCAAAGCTCCCAGTTCCAAAACAAAAGAAAGAAACCATGCCATGATCACCAGACACATGGCCTCAAGTAACTCTTCTCCCCCTATTTTTTCCCCATGATGGGCCTCTTTTGGAATTTGAGAGGTGTACATATTTCTCTTCCCTGTCTCCGCTCTCTCCTAAAAAAATCCAACTTTCATTTTCTTGCTCTTTTGGAACCCCTGGTTGAACCAAATAAATTGGAGTGGTACAGAATGAAACTTGGACTCTTGAAGGGTTTTCATGCTTTAAACAACAAACTTTGGTTTTTCTGGAATGACAGTGCCCTCTCACTTCAGGCCATCATTGAGGAAGAGCAGGTTCTAACATGCTGTTTTAAGGACCTTGAGTCCTCAACCACTATTTGGATCTCCAGTGTATATGGAAAGCATTGTAGACTAGATAGAGAAAGACTTTGGATCTCTTTAAGAAACCTCTTTCCTGTCCAAGGCCCATGGATCATTGGGGGAGATTTCAATACAGTACCTTCTATTACTGAACACAAAGGGGCAGTTTGTCCAGACCTTGGAAGTATGGCAGATTTTAATAGCACCATCTCTGATTGTGAGCTCATTTCCCCCACCTTTTTGGGCAGCCAATTCACCTGGTTTGGAAAAAGGGGTAAAGGAAGAGTTTGTAGAAGACTTGACAGAATCCTGATAAATGAAGATTGTATGAATCTATTCCAGGTCATTGAGGTGAAACACCTTGGAAGAGGGAACTCTGATCACAGGCCTTTGCTTCTCAAACTCCTCCTTAACCAAATCTCAGGCCCAAAACCTTTTAAATTTCTCAATATTTGGAGTTCCCATAAATCATACAATGATCTGATAATTTCCTCTTGGGATAAAAACTATCAGGGTGGGGGTATGAGAGGCCTTGCTATGAAACTCTCTAACCTCAAAAAAACACTCATCAAATGGAATAAGGAAACTTTTGGAAATATTTTTGAGGAAGTGTCTAAGGCACAAGATAGGTCAGAAAAGGCAGAAGCCATCCTTGAAATGGATGAATCTGAAAAAAACCTCATGGAGTTCAAGCTAGCTACAGCCCTTCTGCAGCAAGCTTTGAAAAAAGAGGAATGCTTTTGGGCCCAAAAGGCTAACATCAAATGGATCTCCCAAGGGGATGCTTCTACTTCTTTTTTCCACTCCTATGTAAGGGGAAGAAGGCACGGACTACATATCTCCTCTTTAAAGGATGGGAGAGGAAACATCCATACCACTTTTGATGAGATAGCAAGGATAACAGTGGAGCACTACACAGAGGTTTTCTCCTCAATACATGAAGGGGATATGGGAGAAATCCTAAATCTTATTCCTTCTTGTGTATCTGATCAAGACAACACTTTGCTCAGTAGCATCCCAGCTGACGAAGAAATTAAAAGAACCATTTGGTCTTTAAATGCCAATAGCACAGCAAGATCTGATGGGTTTAATGGCTTCTTTTTCAGGAACTCTTGGGACACTATCAAAACTGATGTGTGCATGGCAGCTCAAGAATTCTTCATAGGTGTCCCTATGCCTAAAGCCTTTGGCAGCACACTCTTAACCCTCATCCCTAAAAATGAAGCAGCCATCACCCTGGACCAGTTCAGACCCATCTCCCTATCAACTTTTTTCAGTAAGATTATTTCCAGGATTCTGAGTGACAGACTTAAATTGATCCTTCCCAAGATTATCTCCCAGGAACAGGCTGCTTTTCAGGTTGGGAAGAACATTACTGATCATGTCCTCATGACAAAAGAGATGGTTCACTTACTCTCTTCAAATGCAAGAGGAGGGAACTGCATTATCAAGTTGGACCTCTCTAAAGCTTT